TCGAACACGTAACGATTCCATAGTCTGTGGGGCTCCTCGGTAGCGTAATGATTTGGGCCGTCATCTTTGCTGTTGCATCTTCAGGGGACCTCGCCTGTCCTCAGGTATCGTTGTCTTGATTGTGCCCGACGCGGGCTTGAGGCGGACTCTACGGGGATTTGACGCGGGTTCGACGCGGGTTCGACGTGGGCTCGCCATGGCTTCGACGCAGATTCGACGAGCTCGGCATGAATTCGACGCGGATTCGACAGAAAGCGGCGCGACTGGACAGACAAATTCCCCCGAAGATGCAACACGACATCCTGCAGTGCCCCCCTGGCGGGTCCGGCGCCCTGCTCCCCGTGCGCCCCGCTCTCGGCTACGCCCTCGCCCTCTCCCGTGCGCCAGCGGTCGCCGCCGTCCTCCTCGTCGCCCTGGTCGTCTTCGCCGGTCGCCTTCGTCGTCGGTCGTCCACGCCGTTGGTCGGGTCGGTCGCCGTCCGTCAGTCGGTCGGTCCGTCCTCGTCGCTTGTCGTCGTCGCCCGTCGTCGTCGCAGCCGCCTCGTCGTGCGCGACCCCCTCGTCTCTCGTCTCTGTCGCTCGTTGTCGTAGGCGCTCTGCCGTGCTCGTCGTCCTCGTCGGTGCCGTCGTCGGTCGTTTGCTCGGCCGCCTTCGGCAGGCAGCCCACGCCGTGCGTCTGTCGATCCGTCGGACAGTGGGTGGGTCCGTCGTCGCCCGTCGCTCGTCGCTGCCTCGTCCTGCTCGTCGTCCGCCCGTCGTCGTCGTCGCCACTTCATCGTGCTCTTCGGCTTCCGGTCGCTGTCGCCGCTGGCCGGCCGCGACAGTGGGCGGCGGTCGTGTGCGGTCGGTTGCCGTCGCCGTCGCCCCCCGCCCATTTGGGAGGCCTCCGAGGTCGTGATCCCGAGGCACAGCGTCGAGGCGGGGGCGGGTCGGGGAGGTTCGGGAGTGGTCGTCGTTCGGCCGTTGTCCGTCGGTCGTTGGTCTTCGGTGGGTCGTCATCGTTCGTCAAGGGTCGCCGCGGCTCGTCGTCGTCGTCGTTTCGAAGTCCGTGCAGACTTTTTGTTGATCTGCTGGACGACAGGGGTCCAGCGCAGATTCGAGAAGTCTGCGCGGCCCTTCGGGTGGGTGTGGTTGTTCGGTGGTCTGCTCCTCTTGCCACGGGCCCCGACCCCTCTCCTGCGGCAGCCTTGTCGCCCCGGATCGGGTGTTGATGGCCCCGGCTGGGCGTCGCGTAATTCGGGGGCAGCGATAGTGGGGGATGGGCATCGGGGGGGATGCATCGACCCCCGATCGCCCAGTGATCGCTGGTAGGGGCCCGATAGCCCCAGCCTGCACAGGAAGGTGCGGATTCACTATCGGGGGTCCATCGCCGATCTATCGGCGATGTGGCGCCGATTCCAGGTCGATGCATCCCCCCTTGTGCCAGCCCCCCGCTATCGTAGCCCCTCAGTAATGGGGGTGGGGGGCGGCAAGTGGGGGGGGGCGTGAGGGCTGCAGAAAAGGGACGTAAGGGCCCCGAGAGTTCACCTTTCTCCCTCCCTCCCCCATGTATCGCCCCCCCTTGAGCGACGCCCGACCCGTGGGCACGAAAGCGACCCAAGGGAGGCGGGATTCAGAAAAGCGCGGCTGGAAGTGCAGCCACTCAGAGAGGACAACGTTATGGTGCTCGTCCCTCTCCCCCTCCTCCCCTCCTCCCCTCCCTCTCATCCTGTTTTTCCTCCTCCGCCTCCTCCCTCCACCTCCTTCTCAGTCGTCAGCGTTCTCCCACGTCTGCTCCATATCCTCCTCTTCCCCAGAATCTAGATTCCAAGCCGAGACTCGCCGGCAGGTCACAGGGGTGCCAGAGCATTGCTTCAGGGGGGTCGCCATGAATCGGGCATAGCCAGGACCCCGATTAAGGGGAGCCGGTTAGTGATTGGTCCCCGAAGTCCAAAATATGGATCGGAATCGCTAAACCAGGTCTGCCGTAGCTGGTGTTTTCCGTGTGACGGCAATTCCGGTTAGTGGATTGGGACGGGGGGGCGCCCCCTGGTACACATCACTAAACCAGGTCCCACTAAACCCAGTTCTGCCAACGCTCGAATGAAGGAGAGGTCCTTGAGGAAGAGAGGGCATCCTGCTTTTCGGTGTTTTCGGCCTTTGCCTGGTTCCTGCGATCAGGGGCAACGTCAGGGGTGATAGGCTCAGGGGGGAACGCATCGACCCCAAATCGCCCATTCTGGGTAGTCGAAGGCCAGACTGTCAGATTGGATTGGGCCCCAAGGGCCAATCTCTAGCCCGGCCAAACTGGATGATTTGGGTTATTCGCCAGACTGGATTCGCGTTGGCTCCCTCGCCAGATTGCCCCCGTTTGCCAGATTGGGCCTGCCAGATTGGCGCCAGATGGGCTTCGACTACCCAGCCTGGGGCCCCTCGGTGCTCCAGAGGCAGTTTGCGCCTCCCCTGGCACGTCGGGGTCGCCCCTGGCCGGGGTTCTGCGCAAGAGCCTTGTTGTCCCACGCCGCTCACATCTCAGCCCTCACCGCAGGCCGCGGCGTGCCGGCGCGGCGGCGAGCCCGTCGCGGGTGTTCAGGGGTCGAGCGCCGTTGGTGGCCCGGGAGCGGCATGCATCGAGCGGTCCTGCGCGATCGTAGAGCCGCGATCGTTCAGTGTCGGGCGATCCTCGGGAGCGGAAAAGAGGGGGGTGATGACTAGGGGGGGTGATATCATGGCGCGGGCCATGATATTTCCCCAGATCTCATGGCGCCTCTTCTTGTTTCATTACGTCCCAGGCCCCCCCGCTGGGCCGCGCACATGCCGCCCGTCATGATTTGCACCCCCCCCCTCTTGGACACCCCCCTCTTTGCCGCTCCCGAGATCCACGCGGCGTCAGTTGCCAGCGCCCAAGAGCGTCACGGGGAGAACACGCCGCAGCGGTTGGCCACTTGTTTTGCCTCCCAGCGACTCGGGGTCGTAGGCGCCAGTCGTTGGATTCCAGGCATTTCTAGACTCCCAGATCCCAATCTACTTCCAGCGCCTTCCTACCTCAAGAATCGACATGCTATTTGTGTGTGTGTGTTGCTATGATCTGGAAGGGCCTGAACCTCAGGGAGGAAAAACCATCCGGACCGGACAATTGGTGTTTACTAAACGGTCCTGGGCCTTTCTTAAACAGCCCTGCCTTGATGTATTCCTTCTTTGGGTGCGTTTACTAAACGGCTTCTCGTGTCGGGGTGGTCATCATCGGGGTGGATGTTTCCGTAGCCATTTTGGCTCAAGGCCATTTGTTCAAGGAATTTGTTATACATTTGTGAGACAGCTCCACCCCCTCTGCCCGTCGGCCCTTGAACACAACGCCGGCTCCGGCCCGCGCCAGAGGGTACGCGTCAGAAATTCGCTGGTCAAGGATGGTTCAGCCAGAGGATGCCAAGGCAAAGACGGGCCCCATCGATGTGTCCTCCATCCCAGTGGTAGCGAAGAACGATGACGGCTTGCTCGCGCAACCTGAGGAGCCGAAGTTCAAGACGGCTTTGGTTGAGATTTATGTGCCATCGCAGGAAGGAGGCGGCAGCGACAAGATCCGCAATGGCCATCGTTACGACTCCATTCCGATTGCGAATGGCTTCATTAATGCGGGCATGAGTTGCCAACTGGTGAACTATTGCATCGAGAAGCACGACGAGTTCTTTGCGGTTCTCGAGAAGTTCGATGCCATTGTGGTGCGTTGCAACCCAGGGCAGGTCAATGCGGCTGGCGGCAGCCAGAAGAAGTTTGATGATGCGATGATGAAGTTGGCTGAGACTCGGCCGGTGTGGCCCACGCCAGATGTAATGGCGAAGATGGGCGCGAAGAAGGCGCTGTGCATGATCAAGGACATGGACATCGGCTTGAAGGACACCCTGGGGTATTACCATCCATCGGAGATCGCGGCAGGCTTCAGGAAGACGATCGCGTTCCAGCCCCGTGTGGTGAAACAGAATCGCGGCTCTGCTGGCGAGGGCATTTGTTATCAAGCTGAAGTCTGGTGTCTATTGCAAGAGCTTCGGCGAGAGAGAGGCCGCCGACGACGAGATGTTGATCCTGACGGAGGCGTGTGACAATCATGTTGAGGAGCACACCGTAGGAGAGTTCATCGAGTTTTGCGTGAACGGCCGCACAGAGAAGTTTGGTGAGTGGAAGTCCATTGGAACTGGCAAGTACTTTGAGGGTGGCGAGGAGGCTGGCGGGCAGATGGTCGACCAGCGCTTCTTGCCCAGGATCGAGGAGGGCGAGACTCGTTTCATGATGGTTGGCAGCGAGCTGTACCGCATCGAGCACTACGTGTATATGGGTGACGTCGGCGGTGAGACCAAGACGACCATTTACCAGCCGGACGACCCCATGTGGGCTGCACTCAAGGCGAAGCTGGAGTCTGAGGTCGAGCAGATCATGGCTGCCCTGGGCTTGCCCATGACCGCTCTGCCCTTGGTGTGGTCAGCGGACTTCATCCCGATCGACGACCATGTGGCCTCTCATGTGGTGGGCGAGTTCAACTGTTCTTGCCTCGGGATCTCTGGCTTCCTCGCGGCTCGAGGCAAGGACATGGATGCAGTCACGAAGGAGGACGCGGAAGCTGGGCAGGCGATGTGCAATCTCATCGGGCAGAAGGCGTTGTCGGCCTGCGAGAGCTTCAAAAGTGAGAGTGCGGCATTTGGAGGAGCCATATATCCTCATTGTGTTTTTGTTGGTGCATGACATGTGTTTCTTCTCGGTTGCTCTGACTGTTTGTGGCTGAAGCACCCGCAGAGTTTCGCAGTGTTCGTTTCTAGTCGGGTCTTGCCGACCAACGTGTGTGGGCGTGTTGCTTCCGCACTGCCTCCGTGGAATAGCCCCGGGATTGTCGGTGCTGGTTTTTCAGCACTTGCTTTGCCAGCGCCGTGGTCATTGGTTCAGCGTTAGCTTGTACAGGAACAGTCCACTACTTTTGAAGATCGTGTCCCTTTTCGCTTCTGGGCAGCGACGCTGGGTAAGGCCCCTGGTCCAGGACCTGCTCCCTTCGGGGACCCCGCGCCCTCGTGGTAAATCACGCGCAGCCCTGCCGGCCCCCCAATCAGAGGCGGACAGGAGGTGTGGCGACCCCGCCCCCGTGCGCCTAGGAAGAGACCCACCCTCGTCTTCGCTTGGCGAGTGAACAGGCGAGTGAAAAAAAAATCATCGGGGTGGATGTTCTGCCCTCTGTACTTCATATTTTTTGACCCGCTTTTTCCGACCGATGTGTACAGCCGGCGCAGCCTCTCAGAGCAGCGCGAGCGCTGCACGAGGGGGTGCCTCTGTGTTCTTCTGGGGGGGGGAGCAGTCGAGGCACGGGCGGCTCGGCCCTGGTGGTTTTGGTTCTTGCTTCGGAGGTTGATAGACCTTGGGAGGCCTGGGAATGGGCATCAACACCAGCACGGGGGGCTGCCTCTGCAGGGGGAAGATGATCCTGGAGTTTGGCGTTGATGGTAATATTTCGGTCACCTCGGAAGCCAGAATACTACGACCATCACCGAGATCGGGATCTTCTTTTCTCGGTGGAGGCACACCGCCGATGTTGGTGTTGGTGTCAACCTCTACGCCTGCGAAGACCTCCTACCTGACACGTCGATTAAGGAATTTGCCATTCTTTACGCTTCGCGTATCCCCACCAGCCCATCTCACAGCAGCAACTCTTGCGAAGCATGCCGACAGTCGTGTTTTTCAGGCGTGTGTCCGCTTGGCCCCGCATATCTCCCCTGTTCCTCCTTCCTCCCGCCTCCTTGTACATCCTCCTTGTGGGGGGAGCGGGAGAAGGACGAGGCGGAGGAGGAGGGAGAGAAAGCGCTCCTCGTGATTTGAGTCGTTTGGGGTTTCTCGTCCTGGTGTGAGTCGTTCGGGCCCTTCTTCCTGGTGTGAGTCGTTCGGGCTCTTCGTGGTGTGAGTCGTTCGGGCTCTTCGTCCTGGTGTGAGTCGTTCGGGCTTCTCGTGGTGTGAGTTGTTCGGGCCCCTCATCCTGGTGTGAGTCGTTCGGGCCCCTCCTCCTGGTGTGACTCGTTCGGGCTCCTCGTGGTGTGAGTCGTTCGGGGCCCGCGTCGTGGTGTGAGTCGTTCGGGCTCCTCGTGGTGTGAGTCGTTCGGGCGCCTCGTCCTGGTGTGAGTCGTTCGGGCCCCTCCTTGTGGTGTGAGTCGTTCGGGCTCTTCGTGGTGTGAGTCGTTCGGGCCCCTCGTCCTGGTGTGAGTCGTTCGGGCTCCTCGTGGGCCTCTTGGGGGCCTCTTGGAGCCTCTTGGGGCCTCTTGGGGGCCTCTTGGGGGCCTCTTGGGGGCCTCTTGGGGGCCTCTTGGGGGCCTCTTGGGGGCCTCTTGGGGCCTCTTGGGGCCTCCTGGGGGCCTCTTGGGGGCCTCTTGGGGGCCTCTTGGGGCCTCTTGGGGGCCTCTTGGGGGCCTCTTGGAGGCCTCTTGGGAGCCTCCTTGGGGCCATCTTGGGGCTTCTTGCGACCTCCTCAGAAGCGCAAATGAGCGCTGCCCCCTGAGAAGGACAAAATGAACCCAACATCTTCGTAAAATCAATGATTTTGCTATGAAGGAAGATGAGCGCGGCCCCCTCAGAAGGCCAACATGGGGCCAAAACCGTGGTAAAATCAATGTTTTTGGCTTCACAGAAGAGCAGAGGGGCCAAACTCCGTCCCCCCGTCGGGGCCAGAATCCTCGTGAGGGTCGTCGTTTTTTAGCCCTCCAAGGAGTCGACAACGACCCCCCTGACGACGCTCGGCCCTCCCTCTCCAGGCCCAGGGGGAGGGGGTAGGGGGAGGGGTAAACCCCTCCCCGAAGGGGAAGAAGGGGGGTTGAGGACAGAGAGAGCTCTCTAAACCACTCACGCCCAAAGAGCTGGTGGGATTTTCGGTTCGCGAGAGGGCGTCGCCACCGTCATTTTTGCGGGTCCAGGTCCGTCGGTTTCGGCCCAGGGCAGGTTCAGGGGAGGTTTATCGTCGCCACGGCTGGATCTGCTCTGCAAGAGCGAGTCAGAATGTGCCGATCGACGCGAGCCCTCGCACTCCCTCCCCCCTCCCCCCCCGCCACCCGTGGAGTAGATCTTTGCTGTTTTTGGATCCTGCTTCGAGCGGGTGGAGCCTCCCCCATAATGGACTCATTGTTGCAAGCAGTCGCACTAAGCAGAGGTCCGGAGCCCGACCCCCCCCCTCCCCCCCTTCCGCCCAATGTCGAAACGCCGAATGAAATCACGCTCACAAAGGACCCCGGGAGGCGTACAGTAGAAATCCATTCCAAGAAACACCCTGCTTGCTTCAGGGTGCCCCGGGTTTCTGAGGGTTCGACGGTCTCGCCGCGGAGACCGTGACGTCCCGCACCAACAACCAAGGGACGTCCTGGGGTCTCGGGGTTGGGCTTCTTGTGGGTGGTCTCCTGTGCTCCAGCCTCCTCAGTGTGTGGGGGCAGAAGTTGTGCGGATCTGGGCGTGACGTCCCGCACCAAAAACCAAGGGACGTCCTGGGGTCTCGGAGTTGGGCTTCTTGTGGGTGGGTGGGTTCCTCGGGGTTGCGCCTCGATGCGGCAACGCGCCTCCTCCTCCCCCTCCTCCTCCTCCCTCCTCCTCCTCCTCCTCCTCCTCTCCTCCTCCTCCTCCTCCTCCCTCCCCCCCCTCCTCCCCCTCCTCCTCCTCCTCTTCCTCCCCCCCCTCCTCCTCCTCCTCCTCCTCCTCCTCCCTCCTCCTCCTCCTCCTCCTCCTCCTCCTCCTCCTCCTTCCTCCTCCTCCCCCCCCTCCTCCTCCTCCTCCTCCCCCCCCTCCTCCTCCTCCTCCTCCTCCCCCTCCTCCTCGGTGCGTGGGGGCTGAAGTTGTGCGGCTCTGGCTCGGGCGGGAGGGCCGCCGCTGCCACGCCACAAGGCCGCCCTCCTCCGACCCTCCGCGCTGCCGCCGGGGGCTCTCCGCGGGGCCACGGGCCCACCGGGCGGAGGGGCTCTCGCTCCTCCTCCTCCTCCTCCTCCTCCTCCTCCTCCTCCTCCTCCTCCTCCTCCTCGTCCTGGTTCCTCCTTCTCCTTCTCTCTCCTCCTCCCCTCCTCCTCCTCCTCCCTCTCCTCCTCCTCCTCCTCCTCCTCCTCCTCCTCCTCCTCCTCCTCCTCCTCCTCCTCCTCCTCCTCCTCCTCCTCCTCCTCCTCCTCCTCCTCCTCCCCCCCCTCCTCCTCCTCCTCCTCCCGCCCGCGCTCTCGGGGCCATGCCGGCCCGCGCTCTCGGGGCCATGTCTCGGTTTCGTGTGACCAATCCTCAGAGCCCCGAACTACCAGGGGTAATTCAAGTGTCAGGGCGAACTCGGGTTCGTTTTTTCGGGATTCCGAACCCGACTTGCCCCGGACCCGAGTTACCCCGGATAACTCGGGCGTCCAGAGCCTCGAATCATCAGGGGTAACTCGGGTCAGGGCGAACTCGGGTTCCTTTTCGGGAATCCAAACCCGAGTTACCCCGGACCCGAGTTACCCCGGATAACTCGGCGACTCGGGGGCGGAAAAGAGGGGGGTGATGACTAGGGGAGGGTGGATATCATGGCGGGGGCCATGATATTTCCGCAGATTTCATGGCGCCTCTTCTTGTTTCAATACGTCCCTGGCCCCCCCGCTGGGCCGCGCACATGCCGCCGGTCATGATTTGCACCCTCCCCCCTCTTGGACACCCCCCTCTTGGCCGCTCCTGAGTCTTGGCATCGTTTGACCAATCCCCATCCCCATCTCCCGTCCCCTTCGAGACCCCCGCCAGATGACCACCCCGGTTGGGGATACACCCCTCGAACCCCGAGGGGAACGACCTCTATCCCAATCTAGGGGGGTAAACCGGCCAGTGGGGCCAAGGCCACGCCGTTGGGGATGGGGATCGGTTGCACGATAATGTCTCGCTCCATGTGGCGGCCCATTTGGCACTTGTGCATCGGTGGCGGAGATGCCCCGAAAGCGAACGCTGTCCCCTCCCTCCCCCATCCTCCACGTCGGAGCCTTCACGAGCTTGTCTGGGCAACCAGCCAGCGGGATGAGCGAAAGCTCCTCGAGTATAGAGACATATGTCAGCAGGCGTGGCCTCAGTCGACACGGAAACTAGGGCACTCCCTCCCTCCATTCTCCACGCCCCCCCCCTCCTCGCCATACCCTCCTCTCCGCCCCAGACTCCCTGCAGAAGGCCCGCTCCCCCCCACCCCTACCTGTCTCATTTCCCCCGAGACCCGACGTTTCGAAGACTGGGTAGTCGAAGGCCAGAGTCAGATTGGATTGGGCCCCAAGGGCCAATCTGGCTCGGTCAAACTGGATGATTTGGGTTATTCGCCAGACTGGATTCGCGCTGGCTCCCTCGCCAGATTGCCCCCGTTTGCCAGATTGGGCCTGCCAGATTGGCGCCAGATTGGCTTCGACTACCCAGACAACATCGTCAAAATCACGGCCGGAGCCCCAGAACCAATCTCTGCGCTGCATCTTTCGAGCCGGATCGATCTGGGATGGCCCCAGGGCCCACAAACCGGCGGCACCCTTGCCTCGGGCCGAACGAAAGGGGCGGGGGATAGAGCCTGTTTTTTTTGGATTCGGGCAAGTTTACTTGCATGGCGTTCTCCCCCCCCCCCCCCTCCTCGCCCCTCTTCAAGCGAATACTAGCGTGCAAGTGCCTTTCGACTTGCGTGATTTCCGCGCCCCCCCCCCTCCCGGGCTTGCTTCAGGCTCAGCCCCCCCCCCCCGTCCAGCAAGTAAATTTGCCAGAGTCTAAAAAAAACAGGCTCATAGGGAGGAGGGGGGGTTACGAAATCTTCTGCATGCAGCTAGTGTCGGCCGTCGCCGGGCCCATTCCTCGATATCACGGGCGCCTCCCGGCGCCGGGAGGCGCTGGGAAAATCAGCTACGCGAGCTGATTCTCTACCCTACCCTTTGCTATCCCCCCCGTTCGTTCCCCCCGATTGTCTTGAATTGCAGCGCTCCGATCTCAGTGTCCTTGGTCTCCCTTGTTCCTCCTGGCCAGGTGTGGACGCCGTCGGGCGCTGGCTTCAGGCGCTGGCGGGCCTCCCAGCGGCAATGGGGAAGGTGGCCGGTGAGGCCAGGTCCCCAAATGCTCCAGTACTTGTTGAATAGAGGCCCTCAAGATGGGGCCCAACCGGCGATGTTCTCAAGATGGGGCTCATCAAGCTCCTTTGAAAATGGGGCGCGGACAAGGAAAATGGGTAGCGGCGCACAACCAAAAATGGGTCGCGCCTGAAACAGAGATGGGGCGCAGATCTTCCGCAATGATAGCCTGACGTTTCGCAAACTTCAGATTCATAAGTCTGAAGTTTTGTGTGCGTCTGACATCATGCATCTGAAGTTTTGGTGCGTGCGAGGTCTACCGTGCTGCTCGTCCTTTACCACCTCCTCCTCCTCCTCCTCCTCCACCTGCTCGTCCTCCCTTGTTATTATTATATTTCACCTCCTCCTCGTCCCCCTCCTCCTCCTCCTCCTCCTCCTGACCCTTCTCCTTCAACTCCTCCTCCCCCCTTTTCCTTCTCTCTTTCTCTGTCCCTTTCTCTGCCTGCTTCGATCTCCCCAATGTCTTCCCCTTTCGCAAGCTGTCTTTCCCTTCTCCTCCGTTTCGCGATCTGTCTGCCCGCCCTTTCTCTTCTTCGCCCTTCTATGTGCCGTTCTCTCTCTCTCTCTGTGTCTCTGTCTCTCTGTCTCTCTGTGTCTCTCTCTGTCTCTCTGTCTCTCCGATTTCAGGCCCACTGGCCTCGAGGGCCCACGGGTGTCCCATTTTCAGGTCCACGGCCACGGTCCTGGGGATGTTTTCAGGGGCCATGGAAATCTCAGTGTATTTCTGGGCCCTGGCAATCGCGGCAGGGGTGGCAGCGCCCGTCGCGACGACGATGGCGGTGACCATCCAGAGGGGCAGAGAAAGAGAGAAGGAGAAGGGGGGAGGAGGAGTTGAATGAGAAGGGCCAGGAGGAGGAGGAGGAGGAGGAGGAGGAGGAGGAGGAGGAGGAGGAGGAGGAGGAGGAAGAGGGGGGAGCGGCGGCGCAGGCGGGGGACGAGGAAGAGGGGGAGGAAACGAGGAGGAGAAGGAGGAGGCGAATGTCCTTTCCACCGACGTGGCTCTGACAGAGCCTCACTCAGCACAAGCTCGAGTCAAATCGAAATCCGCCTCGCCCCAACGCGGGGCAACCAAGCCGCCAGGCACATTTTCACATCTTGTTTTGGGGGTGGGGGTGCTTGGGTGGATGGGTGTAGTTTTTTTTTTTTTTTTTTTTTCTTGGGGGGGCTTGTGTTTTTGTGGTGGTGGGTGGGTGGGTGTTTTTTTTGGGGGTGGGTGGGTGGGTGGGTGGATGTGTGCGGCGGCTGAACGCAGCTATGGCTTGCTAGTAGCCTATTCTCCAGCGCTCGCACAATTTCTTAGACAGGTCTAGCAGCGACGATCCCATCATGATGCAGCTGGCGACTTTACAAATGTGTCGCATGAAATCTTCGGCCTGGTAGCACCACAACATTCGACAATTCAGGAATTTGGCCCCCTGGGCGATATGCCAGAAATGGTGATGCTTGTTTACGAGTGACCACTTGAAAGCCTTCTTGGATTTGGCGTCGGCCGCCAGCGCGCTGTAAAATATCAGCGTCCGCTCTGCAGCTGCTATGGCATCTATATACTCCTGCGGCGAAAGGTACATGTCAGCACGCTCAGTTACCTTATAGAACGAGTTCAAATTTGAGACGCACGCGTTTCTCATTGAACGCATCGTGCTCCCGTCGTCATATTTTGCTGCCAATTCTGCTGCAACTGGGATCAATGCTCGCTGGGCGGCAGCTTTAGTTTTAGTTGTCATGCACGGGTAATTGGCGTGCGGGCATTTCACATCCAAGAAATAATTCAATCCACACCGTCCGCGCCCCTTGCAAAGCTAGGGGGTCGGGCCCTGAGAGAATACTAACATTATGAATGAACGGGCCCCCCAACCCGACCGCCGCCCGCCAAATTCCCATCACACGTGAGAAACCTAACATCAAGTAGGCACGCGGAAGTGCGCCAACATTTGAATGAAAGTTTATGGCCAGAGCTCCCTATATCGCTGTAAGCTTGTTTGATTTCCCTCCACAGCCTGCTCACCGCATCAACTGATGTGCCACCAATCTGTTCGTACACGATTTCGCAAACTGTATTGCCCAAAATGTGACTCGTCACGCCTAAATCGATTGTATGCATTGCGTCTGCCGCCAGCGTGGCTGGACGCACTCCCCACACTGAGAAGATAGGATGCGTAAACGGATACGGTGCAGCCCGCGCGCGCGTCATCCAGGGCGAACGGTCCTCGGGTGCAACGTCGGACAGGACAACAGAACAGAAAAAAAAAAAAAATGAAACTATCGCCATCACATCGCGCATCTGCCGCGCAGTTTTTCCAGAAACCAGGGTGGGGGGGGGGGGCGGGGGGGCTGGTTGCCACGTGTCTGTTGCTCTTGACATTTAAGGCGTAATGACCCGGGGGGTGGAGGGTACGACCGACGTTTTTGTTCAGTCTGTCCTTGTTAAAGTCGTTCCATGGGTTGTCGGACCTGTTCCCATCACAAGCCCAGCATATATTGATAGCATTGCTGGACGGGGCCCCCAAATGATTTGAGTAGAACTCCAAGTCACCCTGTATCGCATACACAAAGGCACTGTACGGCGAGCCCTCGTCGCACAGAAGCTCGCCTGCACACTCTGCAAAGCGCGAGGTTGGCAAAAAACCATCGTCGTTCCAGTCCGCCACCTGCACAGGGCAGGGCCGATCCACGAAAGGACTGGCAACGTGTCGTGTTTGCCCAGGTCCGATGTAAAAACTGGCAGAATCAAGTATATGTTTTCTGTATAAAATCCATGGTGGGGGGTGAACGGAGTTGGCTAAAGCCAGTTGCATCTTTGGTTGGGTGGCTGCCCTGTGCGAGGGCGTTCAAACTCCAACGAATGACTCGCCATATATCCAGCCACGTGTCCTTCCCTCCGTGCTTCTTGGCCTTGGCGGTTGCACAGATGGCCACGCCGATATGAGCAGGGCCAATTCCCTAGTCGAGCCCCGCGCCAGCAAACCACTCATCGAGATCGTCATCATCGACTCGTTCGTTAATATCTCACCACCGTCGCCGTGCATGCGTAATGGGATGGCATGCAACTCGCGCAAGGGAACTTTCCAAACTGGGTGGTTCTGGAGGCGCGGGTCTGACCTTCACGGAGGGCGAAATACCACCGTAGGGCTCAAACTTATGTCAACACACCCTAAACACACCCTAAACGTCTGGCAAACGTCTGGCAAGCGTCTGACAAGCTTCTGACAAAGTCATGGAAATATTATGGTATCGCTTCTGCCAGACGCTTGGTAAATTTCTGAACGCAGTTCTGAGCAGACGCAGTTCTGACGCGTCTGCTCAACCATCCTACAGACGCCTGACGCACCTCGGGAAACCTTCTGATGAAGCATCAGACAAACTTCTGGCAAACGTCTGATCAAACTTCTGACAAACTTCTGATGCAAGTCTGATCAGACGTCTGGCAAACGTCTGATCAGACTTCTGGCAAACGTCTGATCAAACTTCTGACAAACGTCTGATCAGACTTCTGGCGCACTTCTGATCAAACTTCTGAATGATTTCGGGCAAACGTCTGATCAGATGTTGGCCAAACGTCTGGCAAACTTCTGGCAAACGTCTGACCGAACTTCTGGCAAACGTCTGACAACCGTCTGATCAGACTTCTGGCAAACGTCTGGTAAACTTCTGGCACACGTCTGATCAAACTTCTGGCAAACGTCTGGCAAACATCTGACCAAACGTTTGGCAAACTTCTGATCAAACTTCTGGCTAACTTCTGGTAAACGCCTGGTTAAACGTCTGGCAACCATCTGATCAAACTTCTGGCAAAAGTCTGGCCAACATCTGGCCACGCTTCTGGCAAACCTCTGACGCAATGCTGAACAGATGTCTGACAAACGTCTGGCAACAACTGATCAGACTTCTGGCAAACGTCTGGCAAACTTCTGACGAACGCCTGATCAAAGTTCTGGCAAACGTCTGACAAACGTCTGATCAGACGTATGGCAAACGTCTGATCAAACTTCTGGCAAACGTCTGATCAAACTTCTGGCAAACGTCTGACAACCGTCTGATCAGACTTCTGGCAACCGCCTGTTAAATTTCTGGTGAACGCCTGATCAAAATGTTGGCAAACGTCTGGTAAACTTCAGATCAGCACCGTGGCAACTTCTGATAACGCGTTGGACAAACGTCGGGCAAACTTCAAATCTAACGTCAGGTTAATGTTCTAGCAACTTTCTGGAACCCACATGGAAGTGCCCTGGCGAATTTCTGCTAGACGTTTGCCAGCCACCTGGGGGGCTTCTGGAAACCCTCGCATACACACACGCATATGGAAGACCTCTAGGAGCCCTGTTCTACATCTAGACACATGCGGGACACGTGGCTTGGCGTGGCGTCGCATTGCTTTCTGATTGCCGTGCCTGCTCGCTCCTGCCCAAAATTCTGGCAGCCGATCTATTCCACATGTTGCTTGAAAGTCAAGCCTGTGCGAGTGGAAGAGGCTGCTGAACATCTCATGAGGGAGTAGACAGTGACAGCTGTGATCCAACACCTTTAACGTGCTCGGGTCGATACATTTCACAGGGAAAACGACTGGTGGTGGTAACGTGATGTCTTTCACGAATTTGCGCGTGAGGTCTCGGTGGATGTTCTGCTCATACTCGCCCCAGGACCCCATGGCTGCGATGTCTGCGATTTCCTGGACATCCTGCATCCCATCGCGGTAGGCCGCCAAACAATACCTATGATTTTCGGTTCCGAACAGCCGACTCCATGCCCATTATTTCAGCAGCAACGTGGAGAGAGAGGAGACCACCTTGCGCTCGTGCAATTGACGGTCGTCGGCTGACTCATCATCGCCCCCCGAGCTCGAGCCAGAAGCAGAGAACTCAGGGTGCCTCTCGGGGGGCTCGAGGCGGCGCTTTGTAGCTCGCCGCAGCATGCTTGGGCAAACAATGGCT